TATATATTGCCTAATGGTTAGCGTGCTAGAGCTTCAATATGTAGCATGGGCAAGATGTTGCCTAGTGGTTAGCGTGCTGTAGCTCACATATGTAGTAGGGGCTGGATGTTGCCTGGTGGTTAGCGTGCTAGAGCTCACATATGTAGTAGGGGCTAGATGTCGCCTACTGGTTAGTGTGCTAGATAGAGCTCATATATGTAGTATGGGCTAGATGTTGCCTAGTAATTAGTGTGTTGTAGCCCATATATGTAACAGGGGATAGATGTTGCCTGGTGGTTAGTGTGCTAGAGCTCATATGTATAGTATGGGCTAGATGTTGCCTGGTGGTTAGCGTGCAGTAGCTCATTTTTGTAGTAGGGGCTAGATGTTGCCTAGTGGTTAGCGTGCTAGAGCTCATATATGTAGTATGGGCTAGATGTTGCCTAGTGGTTAGCGTGCTAGAGCTCATATATGTAGTAGGGGCTAGATGTTGCTAGAGCTCATATATGTAGTATGGGGCTAGATGTTGCCTAGTGGTTAGCGTTCTAGATAGAGCTCGTATGTTTAGTATGGACTGGATGTTGCCGGCACAAAATCGCCGTCTGCACTTTGGGGCAATGGATACTAGAACTCTGATGCAAAAACGGAACTCCCCTATATAAATGTAAAGCGTCGAATTCTAATTTTGTTTCTTTGAAATTACATACGATTTAGACGTAAATTTTATATTTTATGAATACTAAAATCAAATGCTCCAGGGCAATTATTTTACTGCAGGATAAGATTTCTTCTTAAGGGGCTACTTCCTTCTTTTTAAGTTTTTAACACTGAACTTCTTACCCAAGATAAATATCAGAAACAATGTAATGGGAAAGAATATATAGTGCAACATATTGCAACAACAACTTGTTTTATAAGATATTGCGCTTTAATTTTGCAACAATTGCACGATACAGGATATCATTATTACTGCTAAGTTTCATTACGACAAAAAACTGTGAATATAGCATCAGGTCTATAATTACTAAAAACGTGCTCTCGAAACTTAATTCTTAACATCATATAATAATCGTTTGAAACTGGCATGTACAAAACAATGTTTCTTTCTCAACAATAAAAACTGACGAGGTTATAACACATTAAATTTCAGATTAATTAGATATTTTAGATAAAATAATAAAATATTGTGTCTATATTTTTGTTGTTCTAATTAACAAAGTAAAAATACAAAAAACCAGAACACTTTGAAAAATTAAAACTGTGATTGTCAGATAACGACTAGACGAAATTATAGAGTTTTAAATCCTAAGTGAAAGAAACACAAAGAACATTGTTAAGTATAAAATGTAGTAAAAAACAACTTAGAGAGACATAAATCTGTACACTGTTTTGTTTAAAAAATTGTAGCGTGTGAAATACATCAATAATTGATAGACCATAAAAATCACATAAGCGGTATAACATTATATCTAACAAGAGACCGTTATATTATATTATAATATATTATCTATTTTATATATATTATAATATATCAGCCTAAAAAGTACTTTCTTGAAAGTCTTTAGCAGCCCCATAGATAAAAAAGGATTTATTACGTAAATCCATAGAAAAATCAATCGTGTGATTTTAATGTAAAGTTACCTTTTTTGGATTTATATAATATCATATCCTAAACAGCGCGTAAATTGTATTGTGCGTAGTTTTGGTTACAAAAATACTTGTAAGATTTCTAAGTTTAATGAGACCTTGGTTAGCCTAAACTCCCGATTCTATAACCAGTAGAAAGCTCTTATATGCAAGTACATCAGTAAAACCTAGGCTTGGAGTTTCTGCAAATGTCACTTCTGGTTCCTGTAAATATATTAATTAGTTACCTTCGAGAAAAGGAAATAGTACATCAGTAAAACCTAGGCTTGGAGTTTCTGCAAATGACACTTCTGGTTCCTGTAAATATGTTAATTAGTTACCTTCGAGAAAAGGAAATAGTACATCAGTAAAACCTAGGCTTGGAGTTTCTGCAAATGTCACTTCTGATTCCTGTAAATATATTAATTAGTTACCTTCGAGAAAAGGAAATAGTACATCAGTAAAACCTAGGCTTGGAGTTTCTTCAAATGTTACTTCTAGTTCCTGTAAATATATTAATTAGTTACCTTCGAGAAAAGGAAATATCATTTTAGAACAATGACACAATTCTTCTAATTTTCGTACTTTAGAAATAAATAAATAAGTGTGTAAATTCAACAAACTCCTTGTACTAATATAACTGCCCTCCCCACTATAGATACTGTTACATTTGTACTTCTCAATTATACAAATAGTACTCTTAAATCCTGGACAAATAAATGCTCTGGGACTCATATGTCGGCTTAGTGCACAATTACCTAACAATTATCCGTAGATGTTGGTTCAAAAATTAGCTTGGGCCAAATTTAAATAGTATTTAGTATTTTCCACCTCTGAATACCATTTCTGAAAGTCACTGTCATATATCCAAACTTTTATAACTAAAAACTTGTTCAATCAATTGGACAACAGACATGAAATTAGCGTATATTTCACGAACATCAGTTAGTAAATGAATACATTTAACGAGTCTCTTTCATTGACAATAAATCGCTAGTTTCAGCCCACAGAATACGAATAACCTCGAATTCAGAATAGTAAGAATGAGGGTTTGACTGAATCATCTTGCCTGAGAAACTCATTTTTGTTCAAAACGACATAATATGCTCAGTAACAAATATGCCCCATCCCATTCGAGCAATGCCATCATCTCTACATCTGATTAGTCAGTAGACGATGTTATGAACAATTCCATTACATTCTCAGTCGGTGCATCTCCAAGATCTCGCGTGGCGGGTCAATGCGTAACGTATTCAGCGTCAAAGTAGGTTCCACAAGTTTTTTATTGGATTTAGAATAGAACCCAAGAGTTGTATCATGTTTAATTTATATATCATTTTATATTTATTTCTATTGTTAAAGTTAATTTCACCAATAATATTGGTTATAATGTTTCAAATATGCATATATATATTATACTTGTGAAGATAATTTCGCATTGTTGGCTTAGTGAAATATTACTGGGATTACGGTCGAAAATACCGATAATAGCCAACTGACAACTCAGTGCTTTCTAAACGTTATACGTTGTTTTTGTTTCATTTTATTATAATTTGTCTTATGACGTCATACTCCTGGTTAGACTGTTATATAGTATCAGTTAAACTATTTACTAAGTGTTTTGTCTTTTATTTTTATTTGTCCATTAAGCTTGCTTTTATTATAATGTGCAAAATAGGTCATCAAAATACTAGCAATATGACAGTATGTGTTATTCAGCATCACTAAAAAAAGTCCGATATATGATTGGATTCAATACAACGTAAATACATTATCAAGCAAACAATCTGTCCTTCGTAAGTACGGTAAACTTTGTACATCCATTCATGATGTCGTATACCTTTTCCATAAATGAATCATCGTCGAATTCGTCATATTCACAATATTGCTACAAACATAGCAAAAAATAGTGAAGAGTACAAGCGCACAGTAGCTTGTTACAGGCTTAAAATGATCTCAGAAAGTTTATCCCTTACTATTTAGTTACTTATAACCACCCGAGTCGAGTTCGTGTCTTCTAGTCCATATTAATGTCATGAACTGTGGACCGGCAAACAGCCCATTATGTAGGTTTATACTTAACAAAGAAACAAATAAAAACATTGTAAATCTGTAAACTTATCACTGCCCCACCGTGGAGGGGGTAAAGTTTTAATCTAAAGAAAAATGATAAAGTAATAAACTATGGAATAAAAAAGAAATTAACATATAGTTTATAGACTTAAAGTAGTTTATTTCTGAATAAACTTCAATGTATTATATTTACATAAGGATTGTATTTTATATGCGTATATATGTACTTAATTTATATTATTTATTTTTAGTTGAAAAACTGTATCTGAAAGTTTTGGAAGTTTTCTTGAAAATTAAGTCCTAAGGAGTAACCTTAGAAATCAGGAAACCAGTAGAATGTTAACGAGGTCATGTCATAAGAAGTCAGGAAAGATAAAAACAGAAGAGACCAAATATTGTTATGTTTATATATATATATTTATAATATTCTAAAGCTCATCCTATCTTGTTTTATTCTTGGATTTTAAGTTTTCAGAGGTAGTTTAAACTATAGTCGTGAAGAGTATTGGTAAAGAAGGTAATGACATTGGAAAATAAGTGGTTTTTCTACAATGTGATGTAAAGTTCAGGAACTAATAACAAGGAAAATAAGCAATTTGTTTTTTTTAATACTTTAATGAGACACATTCAGACCTTCAACGAGCTCTGAATAATCTGGAGTCACAGATTTTCTAAGTACATAGTAGAAGTACTCTACAACTCAATCTTAATAGCCCTGTAGATACAAATAATGTGACGTCAGAAACAGAAGAATGTCGAAACTTCTAAAATGCACGTGTGAATAAGATTTTCTTAAAACCCTCTTCTTGGAAAACACCATAGTTTTATATATTTTCATACTTGGTTATGAAATTTTAAACAGCATAATATATAAACCAAAACATTAGTTAAATCCACTGATCCTGTTAACTTTATTTAAATACATATATATTATTCAATTTAAAAACCTTCTCAGTCAGCATAATCTATAAACCAAAACATTATTTAAATACACTGATCCTGTTAGCTTTGTTTTAATGTTTAATTGTGTATGGATTTACATATATTTCGATACATATGTGTTGATGTAGAGTTGTATCAGGATTCCACTACTCAAGAATAATAAACAAGTTTTTTATGATGATTTCTTGCGCGAACCAGATTTATTTATTCTTTGAAACGAAACTCAAAGAGTAATACCACACAACGAAACAGCACGTGCACTTTAAATTAAAATATTAAGTACACAGGAAGAACTTTTTTAGTCGGTAGGTCTGAACGTGATTCTGAAAAATAATATTAATAAATTATTACAAAGTTTTACTGGAGAAATCTCAACTCACCAAATAGTTTGTGAACTTCGTCGGACTTCAGAAATAGACTGAATTCTCCGGTTGAGAGTTCAACACACACAACCCAGAGAAGAACAAGCACGACTCCCAGCCACTTATCAACGCGTCCAGCAACCTCGGCTGCCATTACAGTACACGAGCAACACGGAGAATGAATCTTCCTGCTACCGCTGACAGAAATGATAGGAGACGCCAGAACTTGAGAGCCCAACTGAGATTCTGTCTTAACTCCAATATTACGGTTGTCTGATGTATACCAAAAACCACGTGAACTTTACGTTCATCATGGTTGCTACTAAACAGTTTTTCTTCTACTTCAATCATGCATTAGATGGTGACGGCGCTTTTAATATACGTTTATAAAAACCAATATAAAACAACGTATGGCTTTTTGTTCAGATATTTCCTTGAAACCTTTCCTGTATAGAGCAGAAATGTTCACATTTTAACGGATAATAAATAAATAAATTAGGCTTAACAGAGAAATGTTTTTTCACAATCATGCAAAACAGCGAGCACGAGAGAAATTTTAACTCCTGCCAACTAACATGCGCTCGCACGTCACGTGCAATACTGCCTCACAGCCTTCACAAAACACAACTGACGTTCTCCGTTTGCGAACATCAGGTTTGTGCCTTCCGGGAGTTACGTTCTAACTGGATTTGGTACGAGTGACGTTGATTGGCTGCTATTTTACTGAGTACTCGAGATCGAATTAATAAGATATATAAGTTTGAAAAACACGAACGAAAGCTCTGTTCTCGTCGTGTAACAATATTAAAATATCAAGATATTAATAACTATTTTACCATAATGTTTATTAACACAAATAATGAGTGAAATGCAGCAAACAATACAGAAAATAAGCTCAAAGTTTATAAATATTATTTAGCAAAATGCACAGAACATTAGCACATTAACACTTAAAACCATGGGCTCATAGTTTACGCTATATTAACATCTTTCCAAATTAAAACTAAGCCAGATTTTCAAGCAAATGTCACGTAAATGCTCCGAATATTAAGTCCTAAAACTCTGGGCACATGTTTTATTTTACTTAATACCATAAATTCTCATTGCATTATAACCAAAACTGGTTAATATATTACTACCGCAGCTTCCTTTTTTTCCTTCCTACCCTGTCCTTTTTTTTTTTTTTTAGCTTGGCGAAATAGTCTACTAGATGCTGCTGAAGTATGTCCTAACTTTTCAGTTTTACCAAAAGAAAAACAAAACACGTTGACATAGAAACCAAGGAAAGCAACTGAGGACAGGATTGATGAACCAAGTGCCCGTATTGAACTCAGAGGCTACTTTTTCCAGTAATAAAGTTTGTTTTTTATCACAATGAACTATATGGGAATGAACATATATATATAACAGTAGATTCTGGCTACAGTTTTTTTAAAGGACTTCTTTGATTTTTTTTTCTAGTGTAGAATAATATATGGATCATTCAGATAACAGAAAATTGTCTCTATCTTTCCAAACATATAAACAAAACGAAATGAAACTAATATCAGCGGGAAAAAAACAGACGGAGTCTCACAACAAATATTATTCGGAAGTCTTCAAAATATGGGCGGAATTAACACTTATTAATATGTATGATAAAATACAAATAAATAAACAGACATATGACTTTCCATGTACTGAAGAACGCGCACAGAATTTAATTAGTAAATATATTTGTCAAATAATTAAAACAATTTATTCGGTATTAGTAGCGCATATTCCAGAGATTTTCTCAGAAAAAAATTATAACAGACATTTACTCCGATGGGGTAGCGATAAGTCTACGAACTTACAACGCAAAAATCCAGGATTCGATTCCCCGCGCTGGACGACACAGCAGATCGCCTAATGTAATTCTGCTCTGAAGCAAACAAACAATCATAAACATATAGTCTCTTATAACAAAACTTGTTAGATACTTAAGTTACACTATTATAAAACTGAAAATTAATTAATGAAAAAGTAATTTTCTGGTAAGAATCAAATGTTCTGTTAGCTTGGTCTCATAAAATAATTGATCTATTTAATGAGAACACCAGGATCTTCTATTTATTATTTTTAATTTTTCTTTGTTTTGACAGTCATGTAAAAATCGTTCAGTAAGTTTTACTTAAATACCCACATAGAAAAAAAAATACTTTATCATAGCTTCTAGAAAAAACAAAAATTGCTTAACAACAAAAGAAAAACTTGTGAAAACACTTAATCTCAACGGATAAATCACGGCTTCATGAATTAATTACGATATATAAAAAAATATTATAAGTTACAGCTGTTGCAGTAAAGAAGAATATTTTTTAAATTTTTCGATTACTGGTGCGATCTTCTCAAGTACACAAGTAAAAATATCGAGAAACCAAATAAGGCACTTGACTGCTTGCGTTGATTCGACAATAATGTAATAGCGAGCGGAACGTCCTCAAGGCGGTGGCAAGTTCCTTTGATTGTTTTTTAAAGGGTGAATAACATCCATATTGCACCGTAGTTGTATTTTCAGTAAGCAGTTTAAAGAGCAAATAATGCAGTTATCGGGTCTCTGATTAAGCATCTTGGTGATGAACATGAACGTCACATCCGCTACTGTAAGCCTCTATAGGTATCTATGAGCCAGGTACAGATCATCATCTTCGAAGATCAGGTAATCAGAAAGGAATGTTCCAATATCTTGAAGAGTATATGGTTGAAAAGATGGTTGAACCTGATATTAGGAGAGGATCATATTAAAGGGATTAGTTCGTGTTTTATGGATATATCTTCAGGAAGAATACTTTACAAACACACATTGCGTGACCTGTTATTACTAATAAATTAGATACAGTTAACTTAGGTATTTTACTTAAATTCATATCAGAACTTCATTTTTCAATAAAGTTATTTATTCTAATGTGCGTTAATTTCCAAAAAAAGTTTAGAAAAGAAATATTGAATGGAGAGATAGGCTTGATATAATAGTTGAAAACGTAGTTTAAAAGTCAAAAGATAGGAAATCTAATTGCATAGCCTCTACTAGTTGAATATGTTAACTCTGAGAACAGACATTACAATATTCACTTGTAAAGAAAGAAAATGTTACATATATATAACTTTATAATTTGATGTACTTTTTAGACGCGGCAAAGCGGCTCACAGAATGGCTTTGAGTTTTTCAAGTACAAACATTTAGCTCATAGCTCCGTCATCTCTCGATCGATTTGAGATCTAATTACAGTTTTGAACTCAGGAAGTCAAACCCTTTCATTGATTATTTGACCACGCTCAAGGTCTCATATATTAATTTACTCTAATCCTGCCTAAATAAATTTCAATTTTAGGGTAGGCTGGTATAAATTCTGATGAGTAATAAGATTGAATCGGGGATACGCGCGCCCCAAGTTTGATATAGCTGGCGCACACAAATATAGTTAATAATGAGGGGAAAAAAGTACCACAAATTAATTTACTTTAATCCTACCTCAGATAATCTGAAGTGCCGCGGTCATTGAGGATTCCCTCTTTTTTGAAAATGAAAACCTCAGAAGTTAATATTATATCAATAAAAACGTTAAATGTCTTAAAACGTAATCCCGCAAAAGTATTACAATTTATAGTTTATCTTACTAATATCAAAATTTTGTAACTTGAATTAAATAATTACCAGAAATAAAAGAATGGTACGTGGGCTTGTGTAATTTTACCATTAATCTTCTGGTAGCTAAAACATTTCCTTATCAATTTTTCAACTTCTGCGACACTGCTCACAAAGCTTGGAAATGAACTTTTTGTATTTTTACTGAAAAACATCTGTGGAAAGGCAACAGGAAATATTTGCGATAAAATGGAGAATCTTCACTGTAAACTAATGAACGTATTATTGAATGTAAACTAATGAACGTATTCTTCACTGTAAACTAACGAACGTATTCTTCATTGTAAACTAACGAAAGTATTTTTCACAGTAAACTAATGGACGTATTCTTGACTGTAAATTAACGAACGTATTCCTCACACAAAAGAGCTCAAAACATCAAAATAAGAAAATACCGTAAATCAAAAAAAGGTTTACTGTTATTTAGTTTGGTTCAAAACCTACAAAGTCTTCATTGCTTTCACTGTAATTTATTTTTTTATTATTTAGGGAGCATTATAAACAGTTATGTTTTAAAAGAAAAAACTATAAATAACACATTCAATTGAACTAAACTATGCATGCTTATTTAAATATATTTACACATGGCTTGTGTATATTGTATATATACATATATATTATTCATACCTTCGGTGTATAGATATTATTCACTGCACACTAACGAAGGTATTATTCACTGTAAACTAACGAATGTATTCTTCACTGTAAACTAATGAGCGTATTCTTCACTATAAACTATCGAACGTATTCTTCACTGTAAACTAATGAACGTATTCTTCACTGTAAACTAATGAGCGTATTCTTCACTATAAACTAACGAACGTATTCTTCACTGTAAACTAATTAACGTATTATTTGTGCAAATCATAAGTATACTTTCTATGACAATATACATTTATTTTCTCTTAACTTTGCTGGTGGAAATGTGTATATAAATTGTATTTTTTTTCCATTTAGAATACAGGCTTATAAGTGATTTTGTCCCCCTCCCCATTATTTAGAATAATAACAATTATAATGTTACCTTACACGGATATCACTTGAAGCAATGGATTCTCTTAAAGACTCATTTTATTTTCCTAATTTTAGTTTTCAAACGTACTGCAGTGAAAAAGGTCAGTTTTGCACCTCATATTATTTACGTTCGTACTCGGGATTTTGAGGTTTTATATATAATGTTATTATTGAGATCAGAACTTTAGAGCATATATGATCTACAACGTTTTACAGGTAGATTCGAAAGTCATACTGCTATAAATATAAACTCACATGAGCTTCTGTGGAACTGCACAAAGCTTTCTTTACATAATTAGGTTTTTACACAGATCAGTCATCGAAAGAGATTAATAGAGTTTAAGGGTGGGTCTTTTAAATATACATTTAATTTGCAACAATATACCTTACGGTTTTCTGCACATACGTAACATTATACTGGAGCTATTCACGTGCAGTGTTAGTGAAGAAAAAATTTTCTTTCTTCAAATACT